GGAGCGGCCCCGGCCCGGCCGCCGGGGGCAGCGCGATCCCGCGGGGCCCTGTGAGCCCCCAGCGCCACGGCACCATGGTACGCAAGGCCCTGCCTGTCCCCCCGCTTATCCGCCCACCTGCCCGCTCTGCCCTCGTAGCGCACGGCCCGCGGGCTTGGGGTGGAGAGATCTTCCCCCTCGCCGGCTCTTTTCGACCGCTTCTCCTGGGTCCCCGAAGGCCGGGAATGCGGCGCTATGGCGCGGCCCTGGCGGGGAGGGGGTTAAATTCCTGGGGTGGGGGCCCGGGCACGACAGGCTGAGGTCTTGCTAAGAACAGGCGGAGGGGGGCGCTTCCCTGAGCCTGGGACGACGCCGCCCTCGGACTGGGTGATGTAGGGGGAAGGGGGGAGGTCGGATTCCCGCCTGGGCCTTGGGCCACGTGGGCGCTGGAGCCTCCCCGCCCGGGGATTCGGGGCGCTTGGGCCAAGTGGGGTGCCGGGTGGGACGCCTGCAGATCTGGTCCAAACTCCTGTGTGACCTTGGGCTGGTCCCCCGCCCTCTCTGGGCCTGTTTCCCGGTAAAGAAGGGGGGGGCATGAGCGCAGAGGAGGCTGGCATAGACACCCCCTCCCCAAAAGGAGGATCCTGGAAGTCATGAGCCTGTGCCCCCTTTGCTCAGTCTGGGCCCACCCTCTGCTGCCCTGCCATGGGGTGCAGTTGGACGCCCAGGTTTTTTCCCCCTGCAGCCTCCAGGGAGGCGCTGGGGCAGGGTAGGGAGCCCGTGGCTTCGTGGCAGTGAGGCAGGGTATACCCTTCAGGTGTGGAAGGCTCTGACCCCCGGCGGGCAAGCAGCCTGGGCAGGTGTTCCCCTCAACCTGGCTTTGGGGGCGGGTTTGAGGGCATGAAACCGCCTGACAGCAGGACTGCCTGACCACTCCCCTGGTCCTGCATCATAGCAAGGCTGGCCTGGCCTCAGGGGTGCGGTGTGTGGCTGCAGCTGGCACGGCCAGATGGGGAGGGGTGTCAGCAGCTTCAGGGAACTGGCACATCTGCCTGGGGAGGAGGGCACATCTTGTGGGCCCTCCGTGGGAGGTGCCATGCTAGGGGGCTGCTGTACCCTGCTGAGGGGCTGCCAGTCGTGGACTCGGGCAGCATCTGTGTGCCCTCTCAAGGAAGGCCAGTCAGGGTGCCTGGTCGAGAGGTTCTTGTCAAGAGCCAAGGATGCTACTGGCTTGGCTGGGGGTACTGCCTTGGGAATGGAGCCTTTGGGGCAGCACTATCACTCAGGCTAACCCCTCCTCCTCTGCTGAAGCCAGAGGGCCCTGGCCAGGCCTCACCTGGGCCCTGGGACCAGATCTGCACATGAGAAGGTTGGGCACTGCCCTTTCCCCAGGGCAGGCAGGCACTGGTGGGCATTCCGTAACGGGGGAGCAGGGTAGTCTGGGGCCCTGTGGCCTGGGGTGGGCTCCCCCCAGCAGGCCTGGCTTGTCAGCTGACAAGCCTTTATCCAAGCCACTTCACCTACCACTATCTGTCTCCTGGAGGCCCTAAGGAGCCCCTGTTACAACCTAAGATGCACCCTGACCCCTCACTAACCTGCAGGTGGCAGCAGCTCTGGGGAGGAGGTTGCAGGTTGCGGGGGTCGTGGTGGGGTCTGAGGAAGCACAGTTGGTACCCTATGTGAGAGGGTCTCCAGATGCCTCTTCCTGCTTTTTAAGTCATTAAAGAAATCCATCCATGTGGTGTCCAGTCCAGCAGGGAAGGGGTGGCCTTAGCAGAGCTGGGAGTCCCGGAGCTCTGCTACTGCTCACTGTGGGACCCTCCCATTCTGAGCCTCGGTTTCCCCATCTGTGCAGTAGGGTTTGGTCCTAGAAGATGAATCAGAATGAGTCAGAGGAGGGAGATGGGGGTGGCTTGGCATCATATCCCCGTTAGATTGGCCGGGCCTGAACCGGCCAGCAGTCCTGAGAGAGAGGGGCAGATGGGTGACTTCTTGGCTTGGGGGACGGAGGTGTAGTGGGAGAACTCAAGGAAGATGGTGTCCATGGCCAAGGGCCTGGCCAGACTGGGATCTGAGAGAGCATGGGGTGCGTGCTGCCCTGGGCTGCTGGGTGTGGAGGGCGGTTGTCCCTGGTAGGTCCTTGAGGTCCAGGGCAGATTCTCATTCAGGTGACTGAGAAGTTGAATATAGACACCCCCACTCCCCTTGCCCCGTCCGGGCGCACCCAGCAGCACCCCGTCTGCTGCCCCACCAATGGAAGGACTGGCAAAGAAGAGGTGGGCTGTGGATGGATGGACCTGGGTTTCATGCCAGGGCCTCTAAGGAGGTGTTTGGGGGAGGGGAGCTGATGGCTTTGTGGCAGTGGGACAAGGTACCCCTTAAATGTAGGATGGTCTGGCTTGGCTGGACAGGGCCTAAGGGAAGCCAGAACCTAGAACCTGTGGGGTTGGTCCAGCCGGGCAGGTAGTTCGGCAGATATTAATTGAACATCTGCTGTGCACTGGACCCATGCAAGGGACTGGGCAGCCTGCTTGTCTGTGCTGCCCACCTCTTGGGGAGGCACTGTCAGGGAGCCGGGAATGATTAAGCCGGTCCCTATTCTGCACAATTCACAGGTGCTGGATGTGGCCCAAGGGCCTGATAATCTGACCATCAGACTTCAAGGACCTCCCTGAGGCTCCAAGTCATGTGGCCTCCAAGATGGCCGGACCATACCTGACCTGGGGTCTGGGGGCTTAGGGGGAAAGGGGTCAGGGGCAGGCCTTGGGGGCCTCCTGCCTTGAAGAACCCCTGTGTGAGGGAGAGCTGTTGGCGGCCAGGCCTGAGGCCATGGGCAGCGGCCTGGCCCAAGCTCTGGCGAGTAATGCGGGGTTGGCTGGATCTCACCAGCCTCCTCCAGCAGGGCAGCGGACCAGGCTGGGAGAAGTTACAGGCCCTGGGCCTGGATTTCTTCACAAAAGTTTCTCCCTCTGCAGCCCTCAGGCCCAGGCCTGAGGCCCGCTGCTGGTGAGGTGTGGGGTTCCCTCGGGTGCTGCCCCCAGGGGTGCAGTAGCTAGAGGCTGAGCAGTGAGCTTGACCTCTGTTGTTGAGGAGTCTGGGGTTGGGCAGGCATGGTTTTATTTGTGTGAGTGAGTGCGTGTGGGGGAGAGACTGGGGCTCAGGAAATGCTGAAGGATGCTGGGGGTCCTGCGGGGTGACCACCTAGTCCCTGGCGTTAGCACTGAAAGTCCCACATCCCGGGAAACGCCTTGGTCCCTGGCATGCCGGGATGGTTGGTCACTCTCTTCCCTTTTCCTTTCCTTCCCTTCCCTTCCTGGGATGACTTTTCCTGTTTCACAAGGAAGAGCTGGAGGCCCAGAAAAGTTAACCGACTCACCCAGGAGCTGATCTTCGTTCTCAGGTCACCAGTGGAGTTTGAGCTCTGAGGGGCAGCTGACTGGGGCTTGAATCCCGGTTCCCCCATGTCCTTGCTTGAGCTTCGCCTCCTTTTCTGTAACGTGGAGCCAGGAGTGAAGGGTGGGCTGCCTCCCGGATGGTGGGCACTGTCGGGGCCCCACTGGCCTTGCCCTGACCTGTGCCCTCTGCCCCGCAGTTGCTGGTTGAGAAGACAACCGACTCACCGGCGGCTGAGTTCTCGCTGGTGGAGGACGTGGCGCTGCACTTCGCCTGCTTGATGGGCCGCCTGAACGAGCAGCGCCTCTTCCAGCCCGACCTCTGCGACGTGGACCTGGTGCTGGTGCCCCAGCGCAGCGTCTTCCCGGCACACAAGGGCGTGCTGGCTGCCTACAGCCAGTTCTTCCACTCGCTCTTCACCCAGAACAAGCAGCTGCAGCGTGTGGAGCTGTCCCTGGAGGCGCTGGCCCCCGGCGGCCTGCAGCAGATCCTCAACTTCATCTACACGTCCAAGCTGCTGGTCAACGCGGCCAACGTGCACGAGGTGCTCAGTGCCGCCTCGCTGCTGCAGATGGCTGACATCGCCGCGTCCTGCCAGGAGCTGCTGGACGCCCGCTCCCTTGGCCCACCAGGCCCTGGCGCTGTGGCCCTGGCCCAGCCAGCTGCCAGCTGCACCCCGGCCGCACCACCCTACTACTGCGACATCAAGCAGGAGGCCGACGCCCCGGGCCTGCCCAAGATCTACGCCCGCGAGGGCCCTGATCCCTACTCGGTGCGCGTCGAGGACGGGGCAGGGGCCGAGGGTGGCACAGTGCCTGCCGCCATTGGGCCAGCTCAGCCCTTCTTCAAGGAGGAGAAGGAGGGTGGTGTGGAGGAGGCAGGGGGGCCCCCAGCCAGCTTGTGCAAGCTGGAGGGTGGGGAGGAGTTGGAGGAAGAGCTTGGGGGTTCTGGCACCTATAGCCGCCGGGAGCAGTCGCAGATCATAGTGGAGGTGAACCTCAACAACCAGACACTGCACGTGTCTACGGGGCCCGAGGGGAAGCCAGGCGCTGCCACAGGCCCGGCCACCATGGTGCTGGGCCGGGAGGACGGGCTGCAGAGACACTCAGAGGACGAGGAGGAGGACGATGAGGAGGAGGAGGAGGAGGAGGAAGAGGAAGAGGAGGGTGGTGGCAGTGGAGGGGAGGAGGAGGAAGAGGAGGAGGAAGAGGAAGGTGGCAGTCAGGGAGAGGAGGAAGACGAGGAGGAAGAAGGGCACAGTGAACAGGAGGAGGAAGAGGAGGAGGAAGAGGAAGGGCACAGTGAGCAGGATCAGGAGAGCTCAGAGGAGGAGGGGGAGGAAGGAGAGGCGGGGAGCAGGCAGGGGCTGGTGGGGCGCCGTGGCAGCCGGGCAGACCCCCCTCCCCACAGTCGCATGGCCACACGGTCCCGGGAGAATGCTCAGCGCCGGGGCCCCCCTGAGCCTGAGGAGGCCGGGCGACGGGGTGGGAAGCGGCCAAAGCCACCCCCAGCGACCCCCGCGCCAGCTGGAGGGCCGCAGGCCACTGACGGGCTGGGGGCCAAGGTGAAGCTGGAGGAGAAGCAGCACCACCCGTGCCAGAAGTGCCCGCGCGTTTTCAACAACCGCTGGTACCTGGAGAAGCACATGAACGTGACCCACAGCCGCATGCAGATCTGCGACCAGTGCGGCAAGCGCTTCCTGCTGGAGAGCGAGCTGCTGCTGCACCGGCAGACAGACTGCGAGCGCAACATCCAGGTGGGCCTCGGGGTGGCAGGACAGGGTGGAAGGCCAGCTGAGGCCACCCAGCCATCCAGGCTGGGCCAGGCCAGCACTGGGCCCTGGGCACCCCGTGTCCTGCTGCCTGCATTGCCCAGACAGTCTGGGGAGGCCAGATGTAGGTCCCCGGACCATGAGACCAGCCCAGGCCCAGGGTGAGCCAAAAAGTTCTCAGGGTGGTGAGAGCTCAGGGGATAACATCAAGGAGAGCTTCCTGGAGGAAGCAGATAGAGCTGTGCTTTGGCATGTGCAGAGAAGTGCAGAGAGGAGTGGAACAAACCCTTGGCCAGAGGGGCAAAGTGGAGCATGGACATGGCTGGATGAGAAAAGAAAGTTGTCTGAGCCACACGAGGCTGGGGGACAGCCAGCTCTGAGGGCGGATGAGTCAGTGTTTTACTAAATCCTTAGCACTACCAGAAGGTCGGCAGGGCCACTGTGAATAGTCTCACAGATTGTGCACTGCACAAAAGCACAGATGAACAGAGGAGGGATTTGCCCAGAGCGGGGGGCCATTTTCCACTTGCCGCAAAGGCTGACTAGAGCTAGAGGGGCCCGGCAGGAGGAAGCCCCTGCCTTCAGCTCTTTGGAGATGCCAGCTGGCCTGGGCATGAGGAAGAGGGACTGCATGAGAAATCGGGGAAGACGAGGGGCTGGCTGCCTGAGTCTGGGCCAGCCTGGCCTCTTGGTGCGGGAGGCACAAGGCCAGCCAGACTGGTTTTTACCTTTTCTGGTGGGAAGGAGGTGAGGGAGCAGCAGGTAGGCGGGTGCTAATTGCCGAAACTAATTGCTAATTGCAGTGCCCTGTGGAGAAAGTGTTACCTGGGGCTTTCCTGGTGTCCTGCCCCACCCTCGTGCACCCGTTCCCACTTGCCTGCCTGCTGGGCTGCCCTTTGACTCTCCACCTGCTGCACACCTGAGCCCCACTCCTGAAGGGAAAGACGCTTGTGGCTCTTCCAACCTGGGCACCCTGACCCACTTTCTGCCCAAGCCCTGGCCTTGCCTCAGGCCTCTGGGGATGTCCTGCAGGGATGGGCAGGACAAGGGCCCAGGGGAAGAGGAGGAGGGGAGTGGAGAGCCCCCAAGGTTCCCACCACCCTCCATTGCCTGATGGGACCTGGTACCTCCTGCAGGCCCCCCCAAGCCAGCCCTTTAGGAGCTGTCTCCTTGGGGATCTCCATGGTGTCAGGGCATGGGTCCCAGCAGGGGGAGGCAGCAGAGATAATGCCCCAACTCTGCTGAGACCTGTTATCTGGGACGGCTTCCTCTAGGAACTGTGTGTACAGCCTCTGTACCCACTGTGGCCCTTCCACATCCCTTTGTAGAGAGATGACTTGTTGAAATGAGCACAGAGGTGGGCTTCCTGGAAGAGGTGACCCCTGACCCTAGTTGAGTTCAAGGATGAAGGAAGGCCCCAGGCTGCAGCTCTGGGTGGGTGGGTGGGTAGGGGGGTGTTTAGGGAGTTACCATCCCCAACTCCCAAAACTTCAGATCCAGCTGCTCCATCAAGGGCTCTCTCTCTCCAGCATAATTCAGGTGGGAAAACTGAGGCCCAGGGAGGTCCTTGTCTTAGGTCACACGGCCCTGACTCAAGACCCAGGGCCTAAAGTCCTCTCACCCCGCAGTGCGTGACATGTGGCAAAGCTTTTAAGAAGCTCTGGTCCCTCCATGAGCACAACAAGATCGTCCACGGCTATGCGGAGAAGAAGTTCTCCTGTGAGATCTGTGAGAAGAAGTTCTACACCATGGCCCACGTGCGCAAGCACATGGTCGGTAAGTCTGGGCTGGTGGGGGAGGAGGCCTGAGGACAGAGCTAGGCCTGCTGCTGGGTGTGCTGGGACGGACTTCCCATCCAAGGGCAATGTGAAGGGGTGAGAAGGCCCCTCTTGCTGGGAGGCCTGGGGAGGCTGGTTGCAGTGGCAGGTAAGGCCTGGGGAGGCTCTGGGGCCAGGGCTGCCATGTTCAGTTGGGCAGGTTGCACATTGCACAAGGGCTCCTGGTTAAGACGGCACATGGGGACCAGAATCCAGCTGGCACACTGCTAACCAGGCTGTGCCTTGTGGCATGGGGTTGTGTCTACCAGGAAAAGGAGCACCTTTTCCTAAATTACACAAAGTGCCATATGGGCTGGCACAGGCCCTGCTGAGTTTGAGGACAGCTGCGCTTCTGATTCTTTCTCACCTTCTGGCCCTCACAGGGCTTCAGGCTTCTCTGAATGCAACCTTCCCCGCAAGGGGTAACGCCTGGACACAGTAAGGAGGGCCCCAAGTGTGTGTTGGGCCACCCTGCCACCTTAGGCGTGGCTGTCCCTCCTCTGTAGGTGGGCCTGGCTGGGAGTGTGGTGTCCAGGCAGCCCTCCCTCCCTTGCCTGCTCTGGGTCTGGGGCTCAAGGGAGGGGTGGGCAGTGGGCCCCTGGCCTGGCCTTGCCTCCTGTCTCCACCAGACAGTGCCGGGGGTTTCCAGTGTGAACTGATTGGGAGCTGGGAACCCGGGGTCTAGGTCTCGCCCAGGAGCATGCTGGGTAACCCAGGATTAGTGGTCCTTCCTGGGCTCAGATTCCCCAGCTCTGAGCTTTGAGGGGGCCCTCACTGTCTCCAGTTGCATCCTCCCAGATCTTCCCTGAGGAGTTTGTTGATCCTCACCTATCTGTGGGTTCTGGGGGGAGTGCAGCTAATTCCCTCTGGACTGCTCAGGCCCAAGGCTGTGGCCTTTATGAGTGTCATCCCCTGTAACGGCCACCACCACCCCTAGCATTCATTGTGGAAGAGGACACTGAGGCCCGCAGAGGCTGCGCAGGGAGTCCGTGGCTGGGCTGGGATTTGAACTGAGGCCCGTCCCAGTTGGAATCCTTCAGTCTTTCTCTGAAGCTTTAGGGGTGAGGCAGTCTTGGCTGTTTCCCTTGCCCAGCGTCTAAGGAACTATGAGGGCCTCCATGCGTGTCTGGGCCAGACTTCAGAGCAGACAAGGAGACCTAGCCTGCAGGGAAGGGGGCCTCGCCTGGGGGTCAGCCCCAGGTCCTGAGACAGAGGCTGTGAGGCAGGCCCAGGGTAGGTGGTGCCCCAGGAGGCTGTCCATGGGGCTGCCCCAGGATGTGGGGTCTGGGCCCAGTGTGGGGGGTGGTCAGGCAAGGATCCCCTGGGAGGAGCCATGGTAGCCCCCTGAGATGTGACGGCCTCGGTGCCCGCCCTGTAGCCCACACCAAGGACATGCCCTTCACCTGCGAGACCTGCGGGAAGTCCTTCAAACGCAGCATGTCTCTCAAGGTGCACTCTCTGCAGCACTCCGGGGAGAAGCCCTTCAGATGCGAGGTGAGGGCCCGTCTCCGCCTGCGGGACACCCTGGACATGGGGGAGGGATGGGGCGGTAGTTGCTTCAAAACCAGGGGAGTGGGGGGAGTAGGGCACAAGGTTCAGAAAGAGAGGGGCCCACCCTGCTGTCTGTGGCCACCCACTCCATCCTTACCTGGTCACCTGCTGGGCCTGCCCCCGCCCCCACACTGCCACTCCAGCCCTAACCCAACCCCCCCCACACACACACATTGGGGGTGGGGGGCAGGTGGGAAGTCTGCTGGAAGTGAGGGGCAGGCTTTCTGGAGGGGTAGAGAGGACCATCTCAGGCAGAGATCAGAGATGACGCTACACTGGGGATGCGGGGGGCCTTCAGACAAGGAGGAGTGATAGGGGGCCCTCGGCTTTAAGCATGAGGCCTCCCTCCACTCTACAGCCTTTCCCAACTTCCTGACCCCCATTCCTGCCTGGGCCCTGCATGCCCATGGCATCTCCCCCTCTGCCCATGCACTGCCACGCCCCAGGAGCACTCAGCCTGCTCTTGCATCCATACCTCCTTGCCCAGGAGCCCCTCCCCGTGTGTGTCCTTCGTGGGCCCTGTGGTCACAGGGGAGCACTTCCCTCTCTGAAGGCTGCTCCCTGCTCTGCCCCTGGGCCTCTCCCCCACCCCATCCTCAGAACTGCAACGAGCGCTTCCAGTACAAGTACCAGCTGCGGTCCCACATGAGCATCCACATTGGCCACAAGCAGTTCATGTGCCAGTGGTGTGGCAAGGACTTCAACATGAAGCAGTACTTCGATGAGCACATGAAGACGCACACAGGTACGGCTGCCCCCGGGAGGGGCTCCATGCTGGGCCTGGGACCCCTGCTCAGCCCTGGGCCGGATGCCTGGAATGGCCCTGGTCATACCCCTTCTCACCTCTGGACCTCAGTATACCCTTCTCTGTGAGGCTCAGCGCCATCCTCTCTGCCTCCCAGGGGACGGTGAGGCTGGTACAAAATGGCCCAGGGTGGGGAGGATCCGAGAGTGCCAGGGCTGAGCCCCCCGATGGTTCCATGGGCACAGGGAGGCTGGCCCAGGGCTGGGGTGCGGTGGCCCCCCAAGTGACTCCCTGCTGCCCACCGCCAACCCCCAGGGGAGAAGCCGTACATCTGTGAGATCTGCGGCAAGAGCTTCACCAGCCGGCCCAACATGAAGCGGCACCGGCGCACGCACACGGGCGAGAAGCCCTACCCCTGCGACGTCTGCGGCCAGCGCTTCCGCTTCTCCAACATGCTCAAGGCGCACAAGGAGAAATGCTTCCGCGTCAGCCACCCCCTGGCCGGCGACGCCGCCCCCTCTGCCCCAGGCCTGTCCCCGCCCCAGCCGCCGGCGCACGCACTGCCCTTGCTCCCCGGGCTGCCCCAGACCCTGCCGCCCCCGCCGCACCTGCCGCCGCCGCCCCCGCTCTTCCCCACCACTGCCAGCTCCGGTGGGAGGATGAACGCCAGCAACTAACTGCCCCGCCGCCCACGCGGGACCTGGAGCCCCCCACTGCCCTCGCCTCCGCGTGGGACGGCAGCAGCACTGGCCGGGCCCCGCCACCCCCCACTCCAGAGGTGGCTGGACACACTGCTTGAGGCCCCTGACCCTGGGGGATGTGCAGGCTGGCAGCCCCCCAGAGCTGGTGGAGGGAGGACACCACTCTTGAGTGCCCCCCTGTCAGAGACTCCTTGAAGCCTTTACTTTGTTCAGAAGTGAAGGAAAAAGGAAAGAGAGGAAACTATTTGCAGCACTCCCTCCAGGTGAGGGGGCTGCTGGAGGCGGCAGGTACAGTGGGGAGGGGAGGGGCCTGGGGAGCAGATGTGACAGGTCGCTCTGCTGAGGCCTGAGCTGGAGGGGGTTGGCCAGGCCGAGCCTGGGTCAGCTTCAGCGGCTCATCCCTGCCTCCTCTGTGCCCCCAACTTGCCCCCCCATCCTGGAGGGTTTGGGGAGAGGTTGAGATGCCAGAACAGAAGTTGGAGGAGTTGTGGACGCATTTTGAGGGCTGTGGACACCGTGGCAGGGGCTGGAGACTGGATGCCCCCAGGGGCGTGTTGGGTGGGGAGTGGCCAGGTGTGAAGTGCAGACCCAGCTCTGCGTGTGTGGAGTGGGGCAGGCAGGGGCTGGACCCCAGGCATTTGCTTTCCCCACCCACAGCCCTGCCAGCAGGCACAGGGATCCCCGACCTGCATCAGGCTGCACCGAAGGCCCTGAGTCCTGGAGAGGATGTCCCCAAGAAGCCTCTGGGCCTCAGGGTGCTGTGGGCCAGGCCCTGGGTGGGCAGACGGGCTGGCTCCCGAAGCACCAGCTCCCAGGACTGCAGTCAAGGAGCCCCTGGACTTGGGTAGACCCCAGAGGCAGGGCCTTGAGGAGGAGGCTTGGGTAACTGTTTTAAGGTTTCAAGGTGCTATCAGTGGGGCAGGTGGCAGGGCTGCTGTTCACGGAGCACGCCGTCCCTCACCAGCTGCCCTGGCCGTGTCTCCCACACTCGAGGAGATATGTGTGTCTGTGTCCGTCTCTGCTCCCGGAAGGCAGCGCCAGGCCTCATTCTCTCCCTAGGCCTGGCCACAATCCGCCCCCTGCTGCTGTCTGGCATCCTTGTCCCTCCTGGGCCTCTGCGCTGGTGGGCGGGGCACCTGCAGCTATGTTGGTGAGAGAAGCCTGTGTGTTCAGGCCCCTGGGGTGGGGCGGGGGTACTGGGGGAGTCCCCGCCTGTGCCCAATGCTTGCCCCCATGAGGCTGCGCTAATAGGACACCCTTTTTTTGTTGTCATTTAACATCTTTATTCCTGCCTTTGAAATGGGGAGGAAAGTTCCATAAGCTACATGTTTCCTAGTTAAGCTCTTTCCTATTGTGTTTATACGGTTTTGTTTGTTATACTCTTTGCACCTTAACCCCCCACTACTACCCCCTGCACACCACCTTCCCAGCATGGCTGGAGTGGGAAGAGGCCTGAGCCCAAGGGGGACAGTGGGGAGGACTGGGCCCCATCAGCCCAAGGGCTGAGGGGGTCGGAACCCCTCTGACCTCCTTGTGAGGCCCATGGCGCTGGGGCAGGGGGCTGGGGACATTTTAATCATCAATAAACGAAGCACTTTATTCTGTACAGATGTGGGCAGGCCCAAGGAGCCCGAGTGATTTGAGGATCTATAATTTAAGCCACACAGTCCTGATTGTTCTTTGGGCTCAGAGGGGCCCTGATGAGTTTGGGGCTGCAGCAGGAGCAGTACAAGCCAGAGCCTATAGAACGCACCCTCAGGCGCCCGCGCTGTCCCATGTGGAGAGAAGGTGGGCCCTGCCCTCAGAGACGAAGGCTCCCTGCTCTGTGTTGGGCTGGGGGGGTTCCAGCCTCTTATGGGCCCAGGGCTGGGCCTCCCAGGCTCCTGCCTTACTGCAGCTCTTAACCTCCCTCACCCCTTGATCTCTGGGCTTCCATGATATCCTCAGGGTCCCCCTTCCCCGTTTTCCCCCTCCCCTTGCTGTTTCTAACCTCTGGTTCCAGTGCCTGGTAGCTCTTCAGAGCTGGCTCATATTTTCCCCAAAAAAGTTGATCTCCCCCAATGGGCTGTAGGCCGGGACCCCTGTGGGTTCCTCAACCCCTGTCACTGATACCAGAGTCTCCCATGGGTTAGTGGCCTTGTCACTTCCTAGCCCCACTGTGGCCTTAGCAAGCCTGGGGGACCCTGGCCAGACCAGGCCGGGCCCTTGGTCTGTCAGGCCAGACTTTGACAAGCAGAGGCCAGAGATGGGTGTGGGGGGCTGGTGATAAAACCCTGACCCAGGATTTGTGTTTCCTAGTGTACACTTGCCCTCTGAGGGCAGGAGAGGGGTCCAGACAGCAGGCTGGGCACTGGTCAAATGGTCTTATGGCTGTAGATGGGTACGGCCAACCCCTCTCCTGAGAGGCCCAGGTCTCAGTGGGGACAGGAGCCCTGTGTCCCTGGTGCTAAATGCTCTCTTCCCCTTGGGCCAGTGTTGGTGGGAGCTCCTTTCTGACCAGACCACAGGGGTCTGAAGCAATAATGGAACCTCAGCAGTACCAGTATGGAGAGGGGTTCTTGTTTTACCAGCTTTTACATTTCCTTTTTATTTTTAAAACAAATTAACAAGCACCTGGATACAGAGTGAGGGGACAGGGCATCACCCCTACTTCCCAGGGCTGGTGGTGGTGGTGGTGGGGGCGGGGCGCTCAGGATCATCACCTCCCGCTGGAGATCTGCTGGGGGGGGTGGTCCTCTGTCCAGCTGGACTTTTCAGCCCTTTTGGTCAGACCTCAGGTCCGGAACCTGGGCTCCCTGGTCTTGGGCCAGCTGGGCATGAGTGGCCAGAGAGATGAGGTGGGCCTCAAGCCCCATGACCACAGTCTGGAAGCCAGGGCTGAGTCAGAGCCTGAGCCTCCGACCCTGGCGTGTGCTGCCACGGCTGCCACAGTGCCCCTTGCAGGGGGCTCAGCGGTGGCAGAATGGCTGTGCCCAGGTGTGTGGACCCTTGATGTCTGGTCATATGTGGCCACCCCACAGCCCCCGAGTGCGTGGGGGACAGCAGAGGGCGACTGAGAAGAGTGAAGGAGAATAAAGTCGGTACAACTGTCCCTTGGCCCGCCTCTTCTTTACACGCTTCCCTGACCACTGGCTGGAAAGACTTGGACTAGAGCGAGCACAGCGTGGAACCCCACAGCTCGGCTGTGGACCACATGGCCGTCTGTGCCCTGGAGCGTACGCAGACCCCATCCCCCTCCCTTAATGGTGGGCTGGGCTTCGGGGAACACCCAGAGTTAGGGAATGAGGCAACAGCAGAGGTGTACCCCCAAACTGGTGCTGAGTCTTGGGCAGGATGCAGACAAGGCTTAAAAGAGGAGAGGTCCTTGGGCTGCTGAGGTTGAGGCCCCAAAGGTAGTGCCCACAGGAGGCCTGGGCTCCTGCAGGTGTGGTTTTCCACGGGCAGCAGGAGTGTAGCCACAAGAGCCCCAGGACAGCAGGGACCAGCCTCTCCCATTCATGTGCTCAACACCGGGGGTGCTGTGACAAGCAGTATGGACCATCCCTCCCTCGGCAGGCAGGGGAGATCTGAAGGAGCCAGATATCAGAGATGCTGACGTGAGCACCTGGGAGGACAAAAGCTCAGATGGAAGACAGTGGCCTCCGAGGAGGGAGCAGGTGGCTCTCTCTGGGGACCTCTGAGAATTATTGCATTGCACAGGTAACATACAGTGCGCTGGTTCTGTGCCGGGTGGAACTCTAGGGTACGTGGTGAATGAGGCCCCTGTGTTTGTGGCACTTACCCCTGGGTACATGGGGAGGGGCTGACTGGGAGGGAGCTGGGAGAGGAGGCTGGTGGGTGGTTCGTGAACCGGCCAGAGAGGAGGTGCTGGTTCTCAGGATGTGGAAATGCCTTTCCACACAGTCCCACTTTTTTGACTGAAGGGAACAGGGCCTCACTCAGGTCACCCTAAAAATAAACCGCTAGCTGACAGACTTGAGGGCCTGGCTGCTCCCCTGGTCTCTTGTGGGGATCCTGCGTCTCTGTTCTGCTCTCTTCCCTTTTGCTACCCATCCGTTTGTGTGACACCTCTCTATACATCCTTTTCCTTCAGCCCCACCCCACCTCCCTCGTTCTCGAAGTATTTCTAACTTCACACTCCAGAGCCTCGGGAACATGTCATGCTAGGCTATGAGGCAGAGGGCGCTGGGTGGCTATGGGCTGTGGATGGTGAGCATGGTTGGCATCTCACTCTCCCCAGTTTTGCCCTTTGGGACAAAACAGCTCACTAACACCTCACATCCTGGAGGACGGGTCAGAGCAGCACTGGCCTCCTGGGGAAAACTGGGCTTTCCTTCTGACGCACAGTGGGGGTCAGTGAGATGAGGAAGTGATGCACCCTTGGCTTAGTGGTGCCCTTGGGCCTACCCCCTGATACGTGACTTTCTAGAGCTGTGACTGGGGAATAAATCAGGATAGGCTGTGTTCTGCTGCAGTAACAAACCGCTTGGACCACAGTGGCTCAACACCTAGGAGCTCTGGGTGGAGCTCCAGGGCAGCCATTCTCCAGGTAGTGGCTCAGAATTCCAGGCTGCTCTCATCCAGCATCTCTATATCGACAAAGATTCTCTCATTGACCCAGCATGTTTGGACAGCCTTTCTCTGATTGTGGACACCTTCCCAAAGTAGAAAACATAACTCCCTTTCCCAGCCTCCCTTGCAGCTAGGGTATAAACATGTGACCTGGATCCGCCAATTAGACACACCCATGCAAGACTGATTCAGAGGAGAGGAAAGCAAGGAAGCAGGCACCATGCAGACGCCAACATTTTGTGAGGGTGGCAGAGGGGGTAATTAGCTTTTGGGGGTAGTAGAGACAGAGATTCTCGTGTACAACCCTCAGCATCGAGTTCCCATCTGGGGCAGCAGTCATACCTCCCCTGGGCAAGTCCTGCAGAGTGGTTTGGGTTTGTTCCCAGGCACGTAACCCCAGAGCCTGAGTCTCTGGTTTTCCTGGAGATTTA